AAAAGCAGTGTACGAAGGAGTCAAACAGTAGTGTACGAAGGAGTCAAACAGTAGTGTACAAAGGAGTCAAACAGCAGTGTACGAAGGAGTCAAAAAGCAGTGTACGAAGGAGTCAAACAGCAGTGTATGAAGGAGTCAAACAGCAGTGTACGAAGGAGTCAAACAGTAGTGTACGAAGGAGTCAAACAGCAGTGTACGAAGGAGTCAAACAGTAGTGTACGAAGGAGTCAAAAAGCAGTGTACGAAGGAGTCAAACAGTAGTGTACGAAGGAGTCAAACAGTAGTGTACGAAGGAGTCAAACAGTAGTGTACGAAGGAGTCAAACAGCAGTGTACGAAGGAGTCAAAAAGCAGTGTACGAAGGAGTCAAACAGTAGTGTACGAAGGAGTCAAAAAGCAGTGTACGAAGGAGTCAAACAGCAGCTTACGAAGGAGTCAAACAGTAGTGTACGAAGGAGTCAAAAAGCAGTGTACGAAGGAGTCAAACAGCAGTGTACGAAGGAGTCAAAAAGCAGTGTACGAAGGAGTCAAACAGTAGTGTACGAAGGAGTCAAAAAGCAGTGTACGAAGGAGTCAAACAGCAGCGTACGAAGGAGTCAAACAGTAGTGTACGAAGGAGTCAAAAAGCAGTGTACGAAGGATTCAAACAGTAGTGTATGAAGGAGTCAAAAAGCAGTGTACGAAGGAGTCAAACAGCAGTGTACGAAGGAGTCAAAAAGCAGTGTACGAAGGAGTCAAACAGCAGTGTATGAAGGAGTCAAAAAGCAGTGTACGAAGGAGTCAAACAGCAGTGTACGAAGGAGTCAAACAGTAGTGTACGAAGGAGTTAAAAAGCAGTGTACGAAGGAGTCAAAAAGCAGTGTACGAAGGAGTCAAACAGTAGTGTACGACGGAGTCAAACAGTAGTGTACAAAGGAGTCAAACAGCAGTGTACCAAGGAGTCAAACAGCAGTGTATGAAGGAGTGAAACAGCAGTGTACGAAGGAGTGAAACAGCAGTGTACGAAGGAATGAAACAGGCAGAAGATTCGCGGAACGAAGCCCTTGCAACAACAAAAAATGAGCAATAAGGAAGCCCAAATTTATCCAGAAGTCAAGGTTATCCTGCGAGAGATGAAACCGAAAAAGCAATTCTAGGATGTGGTAACAATAGTTTGTATGCCACATCCTACACCAGAAGCAACGGTATATACTGAATTCCAGGAGAGGGAAAGTGGAATCAAAGAATTTCGTAGAGGAGACATTTCGAAAGGAACATGGACACGTTTGACATTAGCCCGGACATTCCTGGATAAGTTGGACATTTACCCGGACATTCCTGGATAAGTTAGACATTTGCCCGGGCATTCCTGGATAAGTTGGACATTAACTCGGATAAATTGGACATTAGCCCGGAAATTCCCGGGTAAGTTGGACATTAGCCCGGACATTCCTGGATAAGTTGGACATTTCCCTGGACATTCCTGGATAAGTTGGACATTAGCCAGGACATACCTGGATAAGTTGGACATTAGCCCGAACATCCCTGTATAAGTTGGACATTTCCCTGGATAAGTTGGACATTAGCCAGGACATACCTGGATAAGTTGGACATTTGCCTGGACACACCTCGATAAGTTAGACATTAATCCTGGTCATTTAATTAAAGTACACCACATATTTTAATCTCAATGCTAACTAGGAGATAGTCATCTGATCTTATAGTTTAAGATAACAGACTTCTTATGCCAGTCACAAATAAGATTTTGTTTTGATATTTGGATCAATTTGCATCATCTTGAGATTCGATCAATTCCTTTTATTTTATTCCTTCGACATTTGATAACTGTCACAATTGAGCTGGTGTTAATTTATCACAAATCAAATGGACAGTTGTTATCTTATTTTCACGATGGTAGAATCGTATAATCGTCACAACTAAAACGATATTACTTTTTCAAATATTGCTCTTAATCTTTGTTAAAGTAATTATACTATATGTTTTGGTTTACCCTGAGTTAAGTTTCTCCAAATGGTTGAAGATTATTTATATTCTATTACTCTTTAATCTTCATCAAAATTGTTGAAACTGAAAAAAAAAATAATTTAACACTTCGATGCAATGCTGTTGTTAGTGTTGCAATGGTTGTAATGTTTGTAATTGTTGTTAGAGCAAATTGTTGCTAATTATTTATGTTTTATTTCAGGCATTAAAAACCAAACCCATTATCTTAAGAAATGTAAGATAAGTTACTAGACATTTCTTTATAGGCCGGAAAACCCAATCCAATTTTTTGTTGTATTTACAGTGGGCTGATTCATCTCCAGAATATGAATGCAACACGGACAATAAAAAAACTGTTTAGATTTAAGTTAACTATTTTAAACTAACGCAAGGTTTAATAGAAGACAAAGGACAATTTCATAAATTTTTTTATTTAATAGTATGAAGAACTTCATTAGGTAACTGAAGTGTGAAATTTCATTTAAAGTCTGGTACTTTACTGAAGTAAGATACTTTACTGAAGTCAGATACTTTACCGAAGTCAGATACTTCACTGAACTCAGAGACTTTACTGAAGTCAGATACTTTACTGAAGTCAGATACTTTACTGAAGTCTGAAAGTTACAACATTTAAAAAAAAAACAGACATTGAAAAGATTGAGCACCGTCATATTTATGTTTTATTAGAACAACATGACCGGGATAAATCAGACTACATTCACCCATTACATGTCCCGGACTCAAAACCAAACAGTTAAAAATTTGATGGTTTCCATTGTATAATGGGAAAAAAACAAAACCAGCCCTGAATGAACAAGAATCAGTTAGCAGAACAAAAAAAGGGGGGGGGGGAGAGACTAAATTCACCACAGTTTCCCATGAAACAAATATTCTCAGCGAGAAAATGTCGACATGTGACATATTAAAAAAGATTGACATACAGACTTCGCAGATGTCAAATGTCGATATGTGACACATTAAAAAAGACTGACATACAGGCTTCACGGGTGTCAAATGTCGATATGTGACACATTAAAAAAGACTAATATTAAAACTCCACAGTTGTCAAATGTCAACATGCGGCACATTAAAAAAAAGTCTGACATTCAGACTCCACGGTTGTCAAAGATGAATTATATGGAAGAAGTTTTGTCATGTCATGTTGAATTTCTGGAAAGTCCCAAGCATGGCAGTAAAATACATTTTAACACGGCAGATTGTTACGAATAACTGAACCAATTTTGAGCCCATAAAAACAAATAAAATCATATAGTAAATGTCTGTAAAATTGTTGGAATCCAGACAAACACACCTCATTGGCGAATTTCACGGTGTTGTCTTTCACAGTCTCATGAAAAAGACGAGCCCCCACGGTGTAACATCATCACTGCTAACTGTAGGGTCACCCAATCACTGACTTCTTAGGTCTTCGCAGTCTCATGAAAATACAAGCCCCCACCGGTGTAACATCGTCACTGCTAACTGTAGGGTCATCATCACTGCTAACTGTAGGGTCATCATCACTGCTAACTGTAGGGTCACCCAATTACTGACATCTCAGGTCTTCACAGTCTCATGAAAAGACGAGCCCCCATGGTGTAACATTAACACTGCTAACTGTAGGGTCACCCAATTACTGACAGCTCAGGTCTTCACAGTCTCATGAAAAGACGAGCCCCCACGGTGTAACATCATCACTGCTAACTATAGGGTCACCCAATTACTGACATCTCAGGTCTTCACAGTCTCATGAAAAGACGAGCCCCCACGGTGTAACATCATCGCTGCTAACTGTAGGGTCACCCAATTACTGACATCTCAGGTCATCACAGTCTCATGAAAAGACAAGCCCCCACGGTGTAACATCATCACTGCTAACTGTAGGGTCACCCAATTACTGACATCTCAGGTCATCACAGTCTCTTGAAAAACGAGCCCCCACGATGTAACATCATCACTCCTAACTGTAGGGTCACCCAATTACTGACATCTCAGGTCTTCACAGTCTCATGAAAAGACAAGCCCCCGGTGTAACACCATCACAGCTAACTGTAGGGTCAACCAATCACTGACTTCTTAAAAGTTCTCAACATTGAAATACTTAAAGCTTAATACTCTTTTTCAACATTTAGTTCCGTTTACAACCAAGGAGAATAGAGGGAGAGAAAAAGAGAGAAAGAAAGAGAGAGGGAAAAATATAGGAAGTGAGTGAGAGAGTGAAAGAAAGAGAGAGAGAGAGAAAGATGGAGAGAGAAAAAAGTAGAATGAGAATGAGGGATAAAGAGAGAGAGAGAGAGAGAGAGAGAGAGAGAGAGAGAGAGAGAGAGAGAGAGAGAGCGAGAGAGAGAGAGAGAGATAGAGAGAGAGAGAGCTTTTGATTTTTTCTGGCTTCCCTACTGCTGTTTAACATTAGTTGAGCTTAAAACTCCCAAACTGAGAGAGAGAGAGAGAGAGAGAGAGAGAGAGAGAGAGAGAGAGAGAAAAAAAAAATGAGAATGAGAGAGAGAGAGAGAGAGAGAGAGAGAGAGAGAGAGAGAGAGAGAGAGAGAGAGAGAGAGAACGAGACAGAGAGAAAGAGATAAAGAGAAAGAGAGCTTTTGATTTTTTCTGGCTTCCCTACTGCTGTTTAACATTAGTTGAGCTTAAAACTCCCAAACTAACGTTTGTTCAAAGAAATTCAAGCAGGCAAAGAACAAGAGAGAGATCAAGCACACATAGATATCAAGTGACCCTGATGAAACGAGAGGTTGCCCCGGTAAAAGAACGAATTCCATTCCCTAACGCACAAGATTAAACAATGTTCAACGTTGTAAGAATGCTTTAAGATTGTTCATTTGATGCCCGCCCACCACATGAAACACGTCACAAGTAGTCCTCCCTCCCGTTGGCGTCAATCCCGTTCTTGGCGCACTCATTGACCCTGACGACCTGCGGGCTCTCCTGAGCGTCTTTCAGCTTCTGCGACGCCGACTTCCGGTTCAGGTGAATCGCTTCCGGTTCCGACGGCGCGTCCCTGAATTTGCAGAAAATCTTGACGAAAGTGTTTCTGAACACGACGCTCATGACGCAGTAGAGCAGGAAGCTGAACGCCGAATTGACGGCCAGGAGGGAGTCCGTTATCTCGCGAATACCCTTGGCCAGATTGTCCTCTTCGATATACCCTTTGCCGAAGAACGTGGACAAGATGGCGTCAGGCGTGATACACACGAGGAACATGAAGACGATGACGATGAGCATCAGGGTGATGCGGTTCCTCGCCGTGAACTTCTTCCCTTTGACCCGCTCCTTCCGGAGCTCGTTGATGATGTTGAGGTTGAGGAAGATGAGGATGAACACGGGGATGATGCCGCGGAGGGAGTTGTGTATCCAGGAGTAGGGCACCATGAAGCTGTCATTGTTGCCCAGCTCCGTGGGCAGGATCAGCACGCACGTGATGTTGAGCACCCGGTCGTGGATGGTCCTCATCTCGTACCTGAGCGCCGACGGGACGGAGAGGGTGCTCATGGAGACGAACACGAACGTGCAGATCAGCCGCGCCCGGCGGGTCGTGCAGAGCTCCTTGGCCCTGGACGGGTAGCAGACGGAGATGTACCGCTCCACGGCCACGCTGACCGTCAACCAGGCCGTCACGCAGACAGACATGTTGAACACGTAGTGCGCCACGGGGTACACGTTGCTGATCATCGTCTGGAACAGTCCCTGGTCGTACAGCCCGGTCGCCACGATGATGAAGTACATCGCGTCGTTCAGCAGCTTGATGGTGTCCGAGAGCGCGAGCGACGAGAGGTACACGTTGGTCGACGTGCGCATGTCCCGGTGGTGGAACACGATGAGCGCCAGTATGTTGCCGGAGATGCCGATGATGCACAGGATCGGGTACACGATCAGCCCAGTGATGTACCTGGCCGTGTCGAAGAAGACGGCGTACTCCTCCGAGGTGTTCTGCGCGCACGACATGTTGGCCAGCGCGTTGGCTCCCCGGTCTTTGACCGGGGTCAGCCACGGCGAGGACCCGTTGGTGAGGACGCTGATGAGCGTGGAGTCCTCCACTAAATAAGTGTTCATTGTTGGGGGATGTGGTGGAGACCCGTGGTACCCATCGGGTGAAATGTTCAATAGGAGTCAGCAAAAACACGGTCTATGCCAATCATATCAGGTGAACGTTCTACATAGTCTTTGTTATTGTTAGGGATGGTTTTGGTAACATCGTATTTTACGACGTCAAACGACTTTACTCAACGAGTAGGAGAAAATATAAATCTCACGTCCAAAAGCATAATCTGAAGAGAGAAGATGGAGAGAATTAGTGAATAAGAAAAGTTATATTCATTATCATGATTTACTATGCATTTATTTAGATGAATTCATTGATACACAATTGCAAATGATGCATACAATTTAGCTCGGCAAAAGCAAAAACGTCACCAGCAACCCTGGTGGATGAGACCTTGGATGGCAACTCATCTAACAGATGGGACTCGTTAACATAGGATGGCAACTCATCGAAATGATGGGACTTGTTAACCGAGGATGGCAACCCATTCAATAGATGGGACACGTTAACCAAGGATGGCAACTCATCTAGGGGAGGGACAACTCTGAAAACAAACCCAGCGATGGAGTCCAGTAGGTGATTTGACATTGACACAATGAACAAACATTCGGACAATCCTGAGACTTAGAACGCATAAAGTGCAAAGTGGCACACACAAGATACACTACTGGTCATCTACTGCACACTGGTTTATTTCCAGTCGTCTTGACCAAGTCCTGAGATTGGATCAAATAGGCACGGAAAAGAGAGAGTGAGGCTGAAGAACTGAGCAACTTTCGCTGATTTTAATAAACAAAATACAGCTCACATCAAGGCTACTACTCGAGTCAAAGCTTCTACTCGAGTCAAGGCTACTACTCGAGTCAAGGCTACTACTCGAGTCAAGACTACTACTCGTCAAGGCTTCTACTCGAGTCAAGGCTACTACTCGAGTCAAGTCTACTACTCGAGTCAAGGCTACTACTCGAGTCAAGGCTTCTACTCGAGTCAAGGCTACTACTCGAGTCAAGTCTACTACTCGAGTCAAGGCAACTACTCGAGTCAAGGCTTCTACTCGAGTCAAAGTCTACTACTCGTGCTTCTACTCGAGTCAAGGCTACTACTCGAGTCAAGTCTACTACTCGAGTCAAGGCTACTACTCGAGTCAAGGCTTCTACTCGAGTCAAGGCTACTACTCGAGTCAAGGCTACTACTCGAGTCAAGGCAACTACTCGAGTCAAGGCTTCTACTCGAGTCAAAGTCTACTACTCGAGTCAAGGCTACTACTCGAGTCAAAGCTACTACTCGAGTCAAGGCTTCTACTCGAGTCAAGGCTACTACTCGAGTCAAGTCTACTACTCGAGTCAAGTCTACTACTCGAGTCAAAGTCTACTACTCGAGTCAAGGCTACTACTCGAGTTAAGGCTACTACTCGAGTCAAGGCTACTACTCGAGTCAAGGCTACTACTCGAGTCAAGGCTACTACTCAAGTCAAGGCTACTACTAAAGTCAAGGCTACTACTCAAGTCAAGGCAACTACTCAAGTCAAGGCAACTACTCAAGTCAATGCTACTACTCAAGTCAAGGCTATTACTCAAGTCAAGGCTGCTATTCAATTCAAGGCTGCTACTCAAGTAAAAAATTGTCTTGGTCATCTTCGCGTGTGAAGGAACAACAATAACATATACATATATATGTATATAAAGATATACCAATACATTATATATATATATAGTAAAAGTCACCAGAGCCCCAAACGAAATTATATGAATTATAAAGCTAACACCTTTTTTTTTTCTTGACTTCTTCTTCAATACGGTTGTTAAGCATCTGTGCACTTAATGTTTGGTGTATGTCATAAAACACATCTAAAGCTGTCATGTTCCTTCACTAAAAGAATAGGCGTGACGTGTCTCTTTACCGGCAGTACACATTTGCCAATTGTCCCGGTCACCACGCTATGAGAACATACAGCGGTACTAGAGCCATTAGCGCACTTGTGCTTCACTAGGTAGGAAAGATACATTAATCCTGACGCGATTTATTGCCACTAAAAATGGCTTCAACAATACACTAAACTAACTTGACCGATGCCATTAGGAAGAAAGTACATTTTCTCTTAAGCATAACATTTCTGTGTCCAGCCAGATCCCTTACACATCACTATTGACTGATCACATTCCCTTACACATCATTATTCCCCTTTCATGTTCCGCTACTAGGGATCTGATCCCTAATCTGGGATCCCATCGTACATCTTCGAGTCCGAGTCATTTATAACAACGCTGGCGCCATGGTCATTATTTTACCCGGTAGCTCGTCGGCCATTTCTCTTTTCATCCAAACAGGGTACACTCTGTGATTCCGCCCCTAAGTTACAAATATATTCCCTTCAAATTTCATCACTGGATCCCGGGGGAGGGAGGGGGGGCTAACCTGATAGGAAATATGATAAGCTTGTGCGTGTGGATGGGATCTAGAGATTCACAAGCGACTAACACTAGCATAAAGGTCGTTTCATCGGGGGGGGGGGGGG